TTACTAAAGCCCCACTGAACTGAACGGAACTGGAATGAAGGGCTTGTGTGTGTAGCCGTGTGTGAGCAGTGTATTTTTAACACACACTATCCTTCAGCGTATCCTTCAACATGACTAATTACAGGAGGGTGACCTGCACATGGACGCGCGCACATATGCACACACCTCTCGTTTTTCTCCTACTTTCTCCTCCTCTCAGCAGCCAGCTGCTCTGTTTTGTTAACATTGGCAGTTTTCGGTTCACTCAGACATTAAAACACGGACACACACAAACACACACACACACACACACACAAACACACTAGCCATATCTATTCATACAGTCCATGGAGACATGCAATCCATGGAGACGATTCATGTAGCGAAAGAATAAACGAGTGCAGGAGCAGATAACGAATGAACCCGAGCCAGGCTGGTGTGTTACTGTAATGAGGCCAGGGACGGCTTTGTGCTCACCTTGTACTTTTTACACCTCCTCCCCTCCCTCGCCTTTTTCTCCTCTTGTCACCTCTCCTCCCTCCCTTGTCTCCTTCCCATGCCCCTCCTCCTCCTCCTCTCTGCTCTCTTATTGCCTTCTTGTTCAAACTCTGTTTCCTCCAACTGTCCTCTACTCGTTGTTTGTCCCATATGTTGTTTTCTCCCTGTGTTCTCTCTCTCGTCGACCTCTTTTCCTCCTTTTGTCATCCTCACATTGCCTCGTGTTGTTTCCCTCTTTACTCTCTGTTGCTGTCCTAATCTCCTTTCCTAATTCCACTCCTCTCACTGTCCCCTTCTCGCCTCTATAAGCTTTCCTCCATTTACATTCACCCAACTTTTCTGTCCTCTTCTTCTCCTCTCCCCTTCCCATGTGTCCTCTGCTCTACTCTTCCTCTCCTCGGCCTTGCCTCGTCTCGTCTCCCCTTTTCTCCTCTCCTCCCTTGGGGGGTTACATGCTATGAGTTGGCTCAGGTAGATTAATTACATGCAATGACATGGAGGAGCTGGCCAGAGGCTTCAGTAATGAGTCTGATTACTCATCTCCAGCAGCTCTGGGTGCTCAGGGGAGGGAAGTCAGGACAGTAGGCCAGCAGAGGGGCCTCTCAGTGGGGGAAGAACAACTCTCACCCACAGGGATCCACTGATACAGAGTTTTTACAAAGCACTGGTGTCCCCGCTTTAAGATCAGAGTGCCAAAAGTCAATGACATGCTGGTAGTCGATATCTCTTTAGTTCAATAAGTAAAGAAGATGTACCCAATACAGTTATATATGGACAAAGCCATGCCTTACTCTATGTATACAGATATATTCCTTTATTTAAAAGAAGAAAAGCTGCAGGCTGCCGCAGGACAAAAATCCAAAATGTCTAATCTCCAGTAGACCAGAGGAATGCCCAGTATGGAAGAAATCCTAAATAGAGGCCAAGAAGGTAACCCAGAGCGGGATGGCTGAGAGACAAAAACATAATTAAACGCTAGAAATGTGGAAAAAACAAGCGTGGATAATAAATCATAAAACAAAAGACAGCTACAATTCCTCATCAAACCATGCCAGACACTTTTTCTTAAGACAGATGATTCTAGGTAAAGTGTTGACTTGTTCTCAGCCTGTATGAGTCAAAGCAAGAAGCTTGAATGGATTTTTTTGTGTTTGACTTTCTCATTGGCTGCAGTTTGAGTACAACACATGTGATGTTATTGGTTGAACCGTGTCCCTCCATATCTTCTCATACTCACACACATACACTCTCTTGGTAACAGTGTTAGAATGTGCAGTAAATAAGATTAAATCTGCAGAAACTAACACATATTGCTGTTATATTAAAACTGGTCAGACTTGAAGGTCCAGTGTGTAAGATTTAGGTGAAAGGGAACTATTGGCAGAAATTTAATGTAGAATAATCCTCATGATGTTTTCACTAGTTTGTTTCATCTAAATTGTATGAGTTGTAGTTTTAACCCAGAAAAGACCCTTTATATTTAAATACTTTATATTTACATGGAGGGGGTCCTCTCTACGGAGGCTGCCATGTTTTTTACAGTAGTCCAGACTGGACAAACTATTACACCATTTTGAGTTTTTATGTGGTGAAGCTACCACAGGTTCTTTTTCATGTTTGGAAGGAGAGGGTGAGGTGAGGGGTGTTCAGCTGCAACATGCAATTTCAACACTAGATATCACTAAATTCTACACACTGAACCTTTAAAGTCTGGAAACACGGCTTCATCCAGTGGGATACCGTATTACCTCTTTAACACCTAAATTAACAGCTTTATGCAGCTAAACCATAAAAAAGCGATTAAATCCTTTCTAATTGCGATTTAAGCAGTTTTCCTTTCACTGGGTAAAACATGACTGAGCAGGTAACACGACACAACATAAAAAAGGCATCATGGCTATATATGGGTTGAAGCCAGAAATATGATGCATGTCATAGTACGAGCCTCTAGGATACTAAAATATAGAAGAAGATGAAAGAAGCACGTTCACCTGGGTGTCTTGTTTCGTCAATGTCATTCGGAGATGTTTTTTTTTTTTTTACATTGGAAAAGGAGCTTTATGAAAACACCCCATACTTCTATAGCAGGAGTCCTTGTCCCAGATATTTAATATCCCCAAAACATTAGTCTGTGCTAATCATTGTTCCATATTTAAATACAGAAACTTCAGAAGGTGCCACTTTGTAAAGTGTAAGCTTTAAGTAGAGGTAATGGCTACAGGAGTGTAATTATTTTCACAAAGTCTGACATTTTCAAAAGAAGAGTGTGGACTTTTGGAACTGTTCTACATTTCTGTCTCATTTTCACTTCTGTCTATCAAAAAATGAAAGCACTATATGGTGGTTGTGACATTTAAAGATCATCATGGTTGTTTAAAACTTTATATGAACTTAAATCAAAACTTTTAAGATTTGCAAAATGAGTAGAGTAATAAAAGTGACCATTTACAAATACATACTATTTAAATTGTAATGAAATTTGTGGTCTCCAGAGAATGAATTATAATGAAGTTGATTGTCCCTGATTTTCTTTCCTTATTGCCTTATTGAATTGTCATCTTTACTCCACCATGTCCACCAGGAAGCTGGTGAGACAGTGGGCGATGCCCGGTGTGAATGGTGGCACGGTGTCGCGGTGTCACAGTGCGGTTTGTGTCAGCGTTTTTAAACCATGTGACGGTATGAATAAAGCATGATGTGGCGGGCAGCGGGGTGGGCAGGGGCTGACAAGAGAACAAGGGCGCCCAGTGTTTTTTGGCGATGGCAAACAAGTAGAAGCCCTTAAAGTTTAATGGGGGCCACGCCACAGAGAGAAGAGGAGTGGTGTGTGTGTGTGTGTGTGTGTGTGTGTGTGTGTGTGTG